TTACACAAGGTGTAAGAGGAAATTTTCATTACTTACCAATATGTTTAATAATCGATTTAATCAACACAAATTTGATTTTGATGTATACTACCTGCCTACTACCAGCCTGTCTAGATTTTCACCTTCCCACCTATCTACCTGTCTACTTATCGGCCTACCAAGAGCTCTTTGGTATATGGATCAATAATATTGATTTGTAATTTTTTTAATATTTTCCTGCTTTGCCAAAATTTTTGGACCATCTCACCCAAAAATGTGATTTGAATCATTTAAAACGGAAGCTTGTTTTCTCAAAATCTGTATTACGAATGGAATGTTTTTGAATTATTCAAATAGGTTATCAGTGTTCCCAGAATCGTCTACGAAAATTTGTATCCACACACATATATTTTTTCTAATGCCAAAATGTTCAGAAACCTTTGAAACGTAAACATATGCAAAAATTTTCATCTTAATTTTTTTTTTGCGATTAACTATAACCCCTATGGGAATATTTTTGACTGTGGGGTAAAAGTGTTCGTTTATATGGTGCCAAATCAAGGTTTTTATAAAAATTGAATTTGTAAACTTTTATTTTTCAAAGTTTTCAAAGTAAATCTTCTTCAGGGACTGAAAAAGCAAAAAAAGTACAAGCAGTTATGGACTGTATGTTAATTCTAATTACATGAAGTTCTTCAAACACAATTATTACATGATGAGTGAAGTTGGGAAAACAATTTAGGCTTTGTTTAACATAATCCACTGTGTGAACGAATATTATAGAATTTATTAATCAGCAATTACTTCATTTTTCTAATGAAGGTTCAAGTCGTAAATGCTAATTACAATGACAAACCGATCATGTCATATTTGAAGTATGACTTTAATTACATTATTGTTTTCGAATATTATACATATTTTGAATGCTATTATAAATATATAATTTATAATTTATCATTATATAAATGTGTATAATGGTTGACACTAATAAATGTGTGCATCACGAGTGTTACCATATTACCAATAAACACTATTCCAAATTGTTATATGATGTATTTATTTTTACTTAAATTCCATCTTGTACAGTAGCAAATAAGTTTTACTTCAATCGCGTGTGAACCCAACACGCACTCTTTTTTATGTCTATCTGTTTTTTTATCTAATGAATAAAAAATTGACGCAAATCAAACCAACACCTACCCATAACCAACACCTACCTCACCATAATCCAAGATTTCTTCTAACAACAACAACCCATTACATCCACACACACTCGAGTCTACTCTACTTTACTCTACTCTCTATTCTTCTATTTCTCTTTGCAACCACCAGCACCACCAGCACCACCAGTTGCGCACGCTCTCCGTCCGCCGGCGGAGAGAGCTTTTGCTTGAAAGCTCTCGCTTAAAAGCTCACGAACTTACTCCCAACGGTATACTTTGCGACGCGAACCCGATCGGGAAACACTGAAATAATAATAATAATAATTGATAATTGATAATTGATTGTAAATTATAAAGTACAAAAGTTAATTGGTAATTTTTAAAATTTCTAAGTTCGCGCAAAAATTTTGACGAGTGATTTAAATTTTTTTGTGTAAGGAGTTTCTTCGAGATAGATGACCATTTAGTGACGGTATTTAATTTTTTAATATTTTTATATAATTGTATAATTATATGTATAATTATATATCCATGATTGAGTGATTTATTTATTCACCCATAAGCAAACCGTAAATACTAACAATATTAATACTACCGTAAATACTAACTAATTAACTAGTGATGTGTATGGCATCGTGCTTTAAGGCAAATTGCTAGAACTTCCCGTACCGTAACGAGATGTTCGAGAAATATTGAATGTTTTCAAAAATATTATTATAAATATTGTAACAATGTCTAATATTTATAAGAATTATATAAACTGAATTGCAAAGTTGAAATTATTTGTTTACTATATTAGAACTTCAGTCAGAATTAAAAATAAAATCTGAATTATTTGTGACAAAAAATTTTGTTTCTGAAAAAAAAAATTGAAAAAAAGATTTTTGCAACATTTTTTTTTCAAAATCAATTATTTCATTAAAACAAGCAAAAGTTCTCTTAATCATTCCAATCGGACGCTTATTTCTCTCAAAATCTGCCATTTTTCGCACACTCAGCTCTGTATCTTCGAAATGGCTGGGCCTGCTTCTTCCAAAAAGTAATAACCACCTTCTCCCAATCTTTACTAATTGAATGTTTCTTAGATCATTCAAATCGGATACTCCGTTTTCTCAAAAACTCGATTTTTATTTTCTGCACTCTTTACTCTTTATCTCCGTAACTGCTGGACCTGCCTTTGCCAAAAACTAATCAGCACATCTCCCTTTCAATAGGAATCGAAAGTTTTTTAAAGCATCCGTGCGCCCGAAAACGAACAAATGTGGACATACAAAACACACACATTCATTTTTTCTGAGGTATGCCAAAATGTTCAGAAACCTTCAAAACGTCGAAAAATGCCAAAATTTATAATTTCGATATTTGGACGATTACAATAACTTACCCTACGGGAAGTTAAAAATAGTTTATACATTTATAGTTTATACAATAGTTTATACATTTTTTATTAAAGCCAAGACATGGTTTTTCACAACCATAAACTAATATAAATATTCTAATAATAATATTATAATATAATTAAATAAATAATAATTTGTTAGCACTTTTTTTAACTTTCCGTATGAGTAAATTATAGTAATCGTCGAAAAATCCAAAATGAACATTTTTACACAAAGTATGTGAAGAAAATTGATATATGTATGTGTGCATATGTGTGGACTCAATTTTTCATTCACAATTACGGGGTTTTAATTGATTTCTCAATTTAGAAAAATATTTGTTTTTTTTTAATATTGAAAATGACTCCCGATTTTAATTTTCTAATTCTAGCTGAAATTCTGAAACTTTGCAATTCAGTTTATATATTTTTATATATATAGGTCCTACATTTTAACTATATGCTTGATTAAGTTTTGTTTATTTACTTTTTATGTAAGCATGAAAGTCGTCGTCCAATTCAAAATTCTTATATTTTGCCCATATATTACAAATAATATAAGAGGTCAAATAAAAAAAACGAATAATAAAAGTTACAGTATTTATAATAATCAATTTGCAAGCATTTAAATTTACTCAAATATATCATTACGGTACGGGAAGTTCCAGCAATTTGCCTCAAGGTGCCATACACCACTAGTTTTTTTAATTTTTATTACAGTTTTGTTATATTTTCTTGAAAATAAATGCAAGAATTTTAAAGATTTAAAAATATTAAGCACGTATATTTTTGGTATTCATTTGTTTATGCTTGAACATCATTCGTTTTTTTAAGATTGAAATTATTTATTTTTGACCAGTTTATTTATTAGAACGCCTTTGAAATTATTTATTTCAGTAAAAAACATCATTTAATTTTTTATATTTACCATTTCAAAGTTCATGTTAACAATTTTTTTAAAAAACAATATTGATTAACACTATTTACATTTTTTATGAATATTTTTATAATTATTTACTTCATATTATTAAGTATACACTCTTGATTTTATAGAAATTAACAACACCAGTATAAATACTTATTTTTAAACTTATAATAAATATTCTCTTCATGACGTATAAAATATGCTAGAATAATATTTATTAAAATAATATTTGGTTTGCATTTCATGTTTTCCATTGACGCATACGAGTAAAACAAAGATTTTCTTTTGTTTTTCTTTTAAGTGATTCATTCATACAGAAATATTTGTAAAAATAGAATGTCAAACTCGTTTAATTTTCCAAATCGTTGCATTTGTAATATTTATGTAGACAAATATTTTGTAGATCAAAGGATTCGATTTGTACTTTTATTCGATAAAGTAATATTATTAGAGTAATCTTCATATTATTTAAAAAAGTCCATAATATTCATTGTGTATTCAAATTTCATTGTTTATCTGATTTCTTCAGAATGATCCAATTTTTTCTAACTCTTTTCTAAGCTGATATTAAACAATAAAGTAGTTATTATCAATTATGTAAGTTTTATTAACTATCATAAACGCAATAAATATTTCATCTCGACAAAATAATTTCACTTTCAAAATTTTGCTTCTAAGTTAATATATGCTATGGAATTCTAAATGAAATAAAATTGCATGAAGAATTCAGTTTTAATCACGTAATTTCTTTTAGTATCAGAATTCGGTAACAGAAATAACATAAATCTTACTTTTGATTATAAAATGAAACACTAAATTATGTATTGAATTAAATATTTATATACGTGTTTTTGGATTAAATCTTTTTTTTTCATATAAATACTGGCTTTCTGTGGGTTGAAATAATTTGCTTCAATCAAGATTAAAAAAGATTAAGGAAAAAATAAAGTATTCATAAATTTGTTTTACCTAAATAATAACTTACATGTTCATTAATAAATAATCTATTTTATTTAATTTTCTCCAATACAATATACGTTACAATCATTACAATCATTACACTACAATCATTAATTAAAATTATAATTAATTTCCAATGAAGTAGAATGCAATGATTGTTAGCTCGAAATTTAAAAAAATAATCTAGTGTTAATTCCAAATATTCTGTGTATTTCATTTTATTTATAGAACTGAATATGCAAATAATAAAGCAACCTTCATTTTCCGATAACAAATAGTTGATATGCACTTCAAAGTGTAGATATTAAAAATAAAATTGCCTTTGAACTTCCTACATTGTGGTTCATATAAAATATTTTTATTATTATTCGTATATGGAAAATTGATGCAAATAGTTCCTTTTTCTTTCCAAATTTAATACTGAAAGTTAATTCATGTAGTAATAATTACACCTCACTCTCTATATACACCACAGAACCATTCATATAAAATAACTTATTATAAACTTAGTATTTAAAATATTTTTACATCAGAATCATTAAATTTATATCTCTTTTTTTTTGGTGATTCTAACCGAATTTTCTTTTTGTTTCAGATTTCAAGAAGACACAATTGACAAATTTTAATATATTATATTAAATTATCAAAATGGCAAGAATCGGGACGCAATTTCAAGCAATTTTTACTTCAATACTCAGCATATTATTTTTGAGCCAAATGGTCACATCTGCCAGCATACAGGTAAGAAATAAAAATAAAATTCTAACACATTCTTAAAAAATATCTATTTCAGCATAAATTTTTTATAGATATATTGCTATGATTTTCAAACAATGCTACATGTTTTACAATTTTGAAAATCATATCAATATATCCATGAAAAATTAATGCTGAAGTAGATATTGATATTTTTTCAACAAAATTTTAAAAATGTGTAGAAATCCAAAAAAAAATTTATTGTTTTTCCCCATATTTTTAAAGCTTCACTCTTGACTCATTATTAAGGTGGGTTATTTTATTTCTCATATTTTCGAAGCTTAACTCTTAAAAAATATGTGTAACAGAAGATTTTTTAAAATTCAAATTATTTTTTGAGATACATCTAATTTACCATAAAATTCTTCTTCTGTTTCCTTCTTTGCATTTTTCTCAAAACTATATTTTTCAATACGATGTCCACGATTTCTCGAGTTCGACTGAACCGATTTACTTGAAATTTTTAGATATTCATTACCAAATATCATTTTTTACTATTTTTAAAAAAATCAAGAAACTCTAAAAAGTGTTAAGGTAATGGTCATTTTTGGTCAGCATTTTGTCAAATTTGTTTTTTTAATTTAATCCTAGTATATATACTATAGCTTACATCAACATAGATTAATTTACTTTAATTTTTTCGATTACTAGAAGGGTTGCATTTTTTTTATTTTTGTGAACTCCACTTCAACTGCTAATTTTTAAAATTAATAACTTTTTCAGTGGCCAGTAACTCCTTTGATATCAGATTTTAGGCTCTTAGCACCAATATTTGCTCATTGGTACCACTTTAAACTATTTTTGCAGAATTTACATCAAATCTCTTGTTTTTGACCCCTAATTTTCTATTCTCTTAAAATTATATGGTAATTTTTATATTATCACTCATCGTTTCTTTAATTAAAAATTAAATCTTTTCTAGTAAATTGCAACTGCTTCAGTAACTTTCATTTGTTTCTAATATTTTTTTTTCAATATTCTTTACCTTTTCTAGTAATTATCGCTTTTTTCTGGTAATATGCTGATTATTTTTAGTAATTTTTACTCATTTTTAGTAATTTTTGCTGATTTTCGGTAAATTTTAATCTTCTTTGGTATTTTGTGTTCCTTTTCGGCAATTAAATAAAATATAATTATCTTTTTTTAATTTGATTCAAAAATGATCTAAATTTTTTGCCTCTACACTAGGATACCTTTTTAAGGTTTTGTTTTGGTGACCAGTTGTACCTTTGATTTAAGGTCTTTTACTGCTTGTCAGTGGAGTCCTTATTTTCTAAAAATGGGGTAAAAATATACATTATGAGGTCGCTACCCTCTCGGACCAAATCAGCAAATAAAAACTAGCAAATTCAATAACTCGTTTAATTTATTCTATTTTCAGACGATAACCATAAAATACGTTTACTGCCGACGACATAATAATTTACACACACACACACACACACACATATATATATATATATATATATATATGTATGTATAAATATGTATATATTTATATATTGACGTAATATCATACAACCCGTTTTGCTCTCGAGCAGACAGCAAAATGGACGTAAACAAGAAAATGCAATAAAATTCCGACATAAAATGAATAATAAATAAAATTGCAGTAAAAGGGATAAATAAATTTATTCATTTATTTGTTTTGTTTATTTGTTGTTTACGCACATAATAAATTCTCACGAGATTTAGAGAGAATATTACGCAATTCGTATTATGGAAGGCGCCAATGAGAAAAAACAAATTTATTTTAAAAATTAATTTTACAATCGACTATAGTCTTAGTTTTCATTCAGTGGGAACTAAAAATAAAATTTAAAAACTAAACCAAATGAGATAAAAAAATATTGGTGTATCAAATTAACTGTATCGATTGCACTTTAATTTATATAGGAGAAACGAGTCAGAATTTATTAAATTGGTTACAACAACATAAAAATAGTAAAAAAAAAATTACAGATTTAAAACTAAGCTTGCAGACCACATTTAACAATTCAGAACACAATATAGACAATTTGTGTTTTTTTATGTACTACATTTTGAAGAAAATTTATGCAAAATACAGATCTTACTTAAATATTTATAATGATAGAACAATTTATAAATGAATGACACAAAAATTCTTTGTCCAGATAATAGTATTTTAAATTTTCTTACATATAAATAAAAAATGTGTAAAAAATTCACAATTACTTCCACACATATTAGAATCTTTATAAAAATAATTTTAAAATTAATATTTTTTACACCTACATAAAATACAAAATTGCTCCACCGCTTTTCTTACGCGTCGAAGTAAATTATTTTCCCTATAAAATAACATGAAATAATTTCATTTTCAAACAATATTTTTATAGGATAGAAAATTAATTTACCGCAATTTAGTTATATAGCGATAAAATATATACATTTTATAAATAACTAGTTTTATGAAAAAAAAATCAATGAAAAATTCAATTGAAAAATAAATGGTTTTCACGTTTTTAATAAATATTTATTCTTGATTGAAACTCCTACATTTTAAATACTGAAACATCATAAGGTAATTTTAAAATAAAATTTCTGATGAAAATGTACTGAATATATTATAATAGCAAATATGTGTGATTTTTTAAATGTATTTTTGAACCATTTTTTTTATAAAAACATGTTTATACTCTAATGACATTTGTTAAAAAAAAAAAAACTTATAAAATATTTGAAAATTCTTCTGAAAGTCAGCCACTTTTAAAATTATTTTTATTAATTAAATTTTTGTTTAAATTTAATAAGATTATTAATATACATTAATTAGAATTAATAAGATATATTAAAAAGAAAGTGTTCTTATTTTTCAAATTGTATTTTTTTTAATTTATATAATTAAATTATAATTTAGTGACAACTTAACAAAATTAACCTTTACATGTCAACATATTTCAATATTATTTAAGTTAATGGAACTTTATTTAAAATATGAAAAAGTTACAAATTAAGTAAATTAAACAAAAAATAAAATTGTTAGAGTTTTATCGTTTCGTTCATAGTTTCTATGTGTTTTAATGAAAATTGTGGTACTGTTTCTCTAGAATTCAAATCGAAGTCAACTTGTTCATGAAATATGTCACAAACATTCATACGAATATGTTACGCAATTCAATTGCAATTTTAGACGACGACATCTCTCAAAACAGAAAACAATAGAATGAATAAAAGTAACTAAAGTGAAACAGTGATACGTTAAAGTTACATAGAATTGATTTAAAATTTAAAGGTCTAAAATATTTTAAGTCTAGGTCTATTCCAAAATATATAAATATCCACTCAAAATAAAAATAGAATTGTCACGTATTCTGATTATTATTGAAAATAAAATAAAAATAAAAATTTAAGACATTTGTTTGATTCAAAGTAATATATGATTTAAAACCTAAAGGCGTCAGAGATTTTTTCAAAATTAAAATTGTATGAGTTTTAAAATATTTTTTTTTAAGTTTGCGGATTTAGTAAAAATGGCTTTTGAATTCTCTCTAATATTTCTCAAACTTCTTGTTACAATCTATTTTATGTCATATGTACTAAATTTCAATTCTCTGTTTGACGATTCAATAAATGTTTTTTTTATAAAATATATAACGTAAAGAAAATACTGGATGTCATTATTTCGATTTAAATAGGTGATAATAATATATTGTTATTTTTAGAATTTTATTTGCATATTGTTTCTATAAAAATATGTGTGACATTTCAAACGTCACTCGATTGTCACTTATTTTAGAAGTTCAGAAAGAAAATCGTTGCAATCGTTTGAAATCAAAAGGTTTTTTTTAAAAATAACATATACACCCATACACCCACACATAAGTACATACATATATATTATTTTGTTTCAATTTTGATCTTGTGTCAGTTTTTATATTTTGTATAAGTTTTAACACCTTGTATCAAATTTTAGACTCTTTGCACCACCAATAATGGTACCACTTATTCTTATTTTAGGCATAGTTTTGCAGAATTTTTTTAATTCTATCATTTGATCTGAATTTTATATTTTCCTAAATTTATCTGTTAATTTCTATATTGTTACCCGTTTCTTAAATTTTTACTGGTTTTAAGTAAACTGTAAACGTTCTTAGTAACTTTCAGTTGTTTTTAGTAATTTTTTTCTTATCTAATAATTTTTACACTTTTTAGTAATTATTACTTTTTTCTAGTAATATGCTGATTATTTTTAGGAATTTTAATTCGTTTTCATTAATTTTTGCTGATTTTCGTTATTTTGTACTCCTTCTCGGTAATTTTGGACATGTCTTGCTAAGTTTTGCTCTTTTTTAGTAACATTGACCATTTTTGCTAATTTTAACTATTTTTGCTAATTTTTGCTCTTTCCCGCTAATTTTCGTTTTTTCCAGAATTTTATTCCCACATCTACTAATTTGTGCTCTTTGCTACTAATCTATTATTTCTTACCAATTTTAATAATTTCTTACTAATCCCATTTATTTATTGCTAATTTTTTTCCAATTTGGCTTATTTTTATCTAATTTTAGTTATTTTTGTTATTTGTACTCATTTTGTATAAATTTTAATATTTCACTATTTTTAGTTTATTTTCTACAAATTTCCACTATTTTTATAAAAGTTTGCACTTTTACAAATTTGTACTGTTTAACATAATTTTGTATGCTTTAAGACCATTTTTTAAAATAAAAGAATTTGAATATTTCAGCATCATATTTCGAATTTTTGTACCTTTTTACACCAATATATAATCTACTCTTCTACTTAAAATTAATTAGTAAAGATTTCGAATAATCTACACTAAAATGGACTCTTTGGAATCAATTACTACCCTTTTCTAATCATTTACTTTCCAAAGGCTTAATTTTTAATCTTGCTAACAAGTTGAACATTTTTGCAATAATTTTTAATTTTTTTATACCGGTATGCACTTTTGTATACCTAAATAAATATTTAATTAGATCACGAACACGATCGCTTTG